TTCCCATGGCTGGAAAAATGAAGACGTGTTCTCAGAGCAGTTCTCTTTTCTGGCAAAAGACGGCAACAGTCGCTGCCTGATCTCAAAGCAAACGTGAAATAGGGAGCAGATAAACCATCGAACAGAGGTTTTCTACACAGAAATGCGATGTGTCCTCCTCAGCTTCTTTTTCCTCTGCACTGTCGGTGACTAAAGCAGAGATGGATTTTGACTCAGGTGCAAACTGAGCGTTTTTGTGGACGCCCACACCGGCCTGTTATCTTACAAATACAATACACCAGAGACAAGGCATCTGTCGTAGCCGTGTGTGTGTGTGTGTGTGTGTGTGTGTGTGGGTGTGAGTGTTTGTGTCTGTGGATGGATTTTAAGCATAATTTGTCCTTTCCACCTTTTCTTTTCCCGTATATAAAGCAAACTCCTATCAATACACTGTAGAGAATATAAATACACCAAGCAGGGGGGGTCTGATTTCCATGCAAACGTCAGAGTGCAGAACACAGTGCAGCGTGCTGTCTCAACAGCAGTATAGCATTAGGCTGTTGCAGCTGTTTCCACACTGAATCATCAAATCTATTTGTATTGCCAGGATAAGAGCTAAGGGATAAAGAGGGAAAGTGTAAATGTAAAACAAGTCATGACAGGATCTGACGAGAGACAGAAATATCCTCTCTCCCCTCTGGTGTTCTCTTTTACACTCTCCCAACCGTTTTAATCTCTCCCTTAATACCAGCCCTTCCAGACTCAACTTTGATCACTGTCATTTTGCAAACTTACAGGATTGGAAGGATTGAGATAAATGCATTATTCATCCCACTCACCAATTTGGGTCTCGTCTGCTGCCTGTAATGCACTTCTCTCATCTCCCTGTCAGTTTTGTCTTTTGTTCACTTTGCTCTGTCATAGGACGGCGCAGATCTTCAGGGATCTGCAATGGACTACAGAGTTTAAAAGGAAAATGTCACAGGTTCACTTAAATTTGCTTCATAAAAACCTTAATAAATAATATTGCTATAATTTGCTATCTGAATACTGCATGTTAAAATTCACCAGGTAGTTCATATATATCTCTTTAATTCCAATTGGAGACTCTAAATCGTCCATAGGTGTGAAGGTATAGTGTAAACGGTTGTTTGCGTGACCTGTCTCAAAGGATAAGGGGTATTTTGCTAGCAAGGACAACACCCTAACTATGTGTGATGTGTGATTTAAATCTTTTAATGTAAATGATTGTATTGGATGTTGAGGAGAAATGAATGGATGTTGAGTGAAGGGGTTAAAGTGAAGATGTGTCTCATCCACTGGTGACTAGGCAGAGGGAGACTCAGTGTCAGGGATGGGATACGGTTGAGATGAGGGAAAGAGGATGAATGGATGGATGGATGGATGGAACTTATGGGTAAGTACTTTATTTAGCAAGTATATGAATGTATACTGAGAATTTAGTTATCACTTGCAGGGACTGTCTCTGCTCAGCATCGGAAGGCATGTTGAATAACAAGCAGTGATACCACCTGCGTATTTGAGGATGACATCACAACCGCCTTGAGCTACTGTGAACACTAAGCTTCCCAGCACGACCTGCACCTCGGTAAATCAAACCCAGAGCTCATGACACACAAGCTTCTGCAGTAAAATTGAATTGGAAAATCACGATAGAGGCTCTGAAATCTGATTTACTATCTCGTCAAATGGACTAAAGACTAATCTGAAGATTTCAGGAGACCACCTGACATACTCTGACTGTCAGTCCAACATGGTTACATCTAAATGCAACTTGTAATGTCACAAAAATGAATGGATTTTGATAGGTGATGAAAACAGTGATAAGAGGATGAGTCTGAGGTAAAGGGAATAAAAACACACCTTCATCAGTACGTATAGGGAGTAACTTGAAGCACTAGAATTGCTGCCTTGTGGATGTGAAGAGGGGACAGGGACACATTTAGCACTGCCTTTGCACCCAATGCAGCCACAAGAACGATGTCACAGCGAAACTGACCTTTGACCTTTCAGTTAATAGATGACATTACCTCATCTTTTCATTTGTAACAATTAGCATATGAGTTCTTGAGTTAAGGCCAGACCACCAAAATCTAGCCAGTTCCACCTTGAGACCGAGATCCCTCAAGGGGCAGCTGATATATTGCGCTCCACAAATGGGACGAACAGAAGGAAGAACAAACAAAAAGACAAAGGCCTGAAAACAATTCCTCAAGCTGCGTCTGTTGTGGAGGTATTAAAAAAACTTTCCAGTTAGTTGTTAGTTAGTCTATTATTTCAGGCAAGGGTAAAGTTACCTGAAAGTAGGGAAGCTAGCTGAAAGCAACAAACATACTTCTCATGCGGTTGAACTGTATTGCTTCGTATCAAATAAGACTGCATGCTCTGTTCTCTGTAACTTTCTGAAACTGACAGTCTGATATATGCACTCACTTCATGCCAAGATTGACCACTGGTGCCACAGTGAGAAAGCAAGCGTGTCCTGAATTTATTTTCTGTCTTGCTCTCTTGCTCTTTGCATTCCTTACACAACTTCCTCTGTCACCTTTCATGTCTAAAACCAAGAGGAACAATACAAAGGCCTTCTAGGAGAGCCTGTTTTAAAGTGGGCACTATTATCTCCCTGTATAAACTATTATCCCTACCCCGGCACCTCTCCGAGGTCTCACTTTACAGCCTGCGCTTGAGTGGGGCTGTGGGAAAACGCTTTGTCTTTTCAATGTAGTAGGAAGACAGGTTGTACAAACTAGTTTTTCCAGCGTAACTCAACCTTATAGCTGCATATCAAGGGCAAAAAAAGGACTAGAGGAAATATATGTATGTATGTGAGAATGCTAATGTCTGAATCAGTGGTTACAGAAAATGTCTTGACTGCTTCCTGCGAGCCTCCTCGTGAGCCCACATGAGAATACAGTTGAAAAATGTCTGGACGATTCAAAGTAAGCCAGTGGGCATTATGAAGGTGCTTCTAACATGTGATGGACGCAAAACAAGCATACAAATATCTCAATATGAAAAAGAGGTGCCATATGTCAAGGATGCCATCGGAGATGTCAACATGGAAAGACAACGAGATAAGAGAGGTTTCAACGATGAGGGCTGTGTAAGTGTGCTGTGAAAAAAAATTTCAACAGCGTAGTTTAATCATGTCCTGTCTCCGGTGTGCTATACCCGGGCACCACTCGCCCGAATGCTCAAACATTTTCGATATCTCCGCTATGTTCTTCATATGAGAAAGGCAAACTGGAAAATGTCCCGACCCAAGTTCATGTCTGAAAATGGCTACAACAAAGAAAAAGCGTTTGTTCTTGCAGTATTGAACAACCCGTTGTGTTATGAGTACAGAGAAATAAGACTCAGTTATTTCATTTTAACTAGATTCCTCTTGAGAGCAAGGCAATGAGTTTTTCATGCCAAACCCTACCCATGGAAGAAAGCATGATATTACCTTCATAAAACTACATGATGAGACATGTTCATACGTAGCAAAGAAGTGGCAGACCAGGCATGTTGCAAAACTCAGAAAACCATTGTAATCGTGTAAAAGTACATTTACACTTGCATATTTGCTTTGGGAAACCATTTCTCTGATTTCTTTGTGTTGTTGAGTATTAAGGGGAACCATTTGGATTTAAGAGTGTGTGAGCAGAAACAGAAACTGCTTCCATTTCAGGCTTTAATTTGTCCTGTAATAAGCAAGCAGCTGTTTTCTGTGCCACAGGCTGAGTCTGTGTCAGATACTCTTTGTCGAGAAACCTTATAATGGAATTTATCACACGTTACATTTTTGTGGAATGCTAACAAGATTGTGAACTCTGAATAACGATTTTCTTGCCTCCTACTATAATCCTCTAACATCTCCCAAATTACACTTGAGTCAATTATTTTAGTATTGACATGCTGTCTGTGTGAAGAGGCAATGATGGCTCTAGCACTAGAGAAACTCATTCCCCTGTGACAAAAGCTAAAAGAAAAAAGGTGACATTTGAAGCAAAGATCTTCTTGGTCATAAAGTACAATCATTTTGTGGTAAAGCAAGTGCTGTAATAACGTTGCCTGAGGGGATTGCACCCCATCCCCGAGGAGTCAGAGGATGATGCCTTCAGCAGTTTTGGATATTCTGATCCATCCCATGGGTTTATTTCGGAGATTCAGAATGAAACAAATTGCCTGTGACGACGACAGTCATGGCACTGACTTTATCTCCACAAGTCCGTTAAGATATCTCCTAAGGTACAGTTATTATTTACACAGCATATTTGACAGCAACAGAAAGTGTACCGTGAAATATGAACAGCAGCAGTGATTACACAGGGTATGATCAAAACAATGAAAGTGCCAGAAGAAAAGACTTCTCGCAGGGACACTGGCTCTGTGTTGAAGTGGGATCATTTTTCTGGCACAGTTTTGGTCCAGATTTAGAATTAGATCGCATCAATTTGCAGCCCTGCATGTGTTGTCAATAAGGCCAGATAACTGTACAAATATAGCACGAGCGAGCCGTGGCGTGCTGTATCTTTTGTGTTTTTGGGGAAAAGAACTGCAGACTGTACCATTGACTCTGAAAAGATACAATCATCTACATCTGTGCTCCTGAGATTTTTGACAGAGTTTCGGTCGAGTTATCTTCTACAACACATGTTCTGTATCTGATGATGTAGAAAAGAGTGATCGCCCCAGCTTCGCATGATTACCAGGGCTTTGTCTGTGCTTTTGAAAGGCTTACATTATGTAGAGGCATATGGTTGCTGTAAGAGAGGTTCTTATACATTTTGGCATTCAAGGAATAGTTTGAAAATTTATTGTTTCTTGCCAAGAATTATATGAGAATACTAACACCACTCTGTCTGTGCAGTATTTATACAGCATGGAGCCCAACTGATTACTCAGTTGGCTGATAAAAATTGGATGATACGAACCTTCCACAAACATAATCGTGTTGGTTTACATAATTTTTTATTTATTCAAGTTATATAAATATATATACATATATGCTTCTATCTACCTCAGTAAAGAGAAGCTGTATCATGCAACACTTCCTCCGTCCTTTCTACACATGAAAATCTTCATCTTCATCCTAACTTTCATGTTAACACTATTACAAACATTTCACTGTAACACGCTTAGTTGTTTTATTTAAAAGCTTCATTAATGAGTGCTGCTATGAAGCTGCCTCTCTGTATCTGTATCACTTTTTTCAAGTGCTTATGTCTTTCAAAAATCTATATTGTGGTCAAGCTCATAGGATGTGTACAAAGATGGACGCATGACTGCTCCCAAAAGTGGAGCCAAAGCATCTTGATCACCACCTGGTGGCTGGCTGCAGTACATGTAATAAATCCTACCTCCTCCATGACAATGGATGGTACATGGACCAAACTAAAAAGTGATCAAAAATTGTTTGGAGATGGTTTTTGTCATGTTAGGTAGTTCTTATCACACTGATGCTTGTTCAAGTGCTCATTTTTCCTCGTAGGTTTGGTTTTAATTATTTGTTTGATGCTATGAAAATGAGTGTGTGCATCGACTGGAACCTTGCAACTGCTGCTCCATCCCCCGATCACTACCACACAGACGGGCTCCAAATGCACAAGACGGTGACGTTCGTATCTAGGATCTTGTGGCTTCAATTCTGGATTGCGGGTACAAGTGGATCCATCTTCACATACAGTCTATGGTCAGGCTTTATACAGTATGTGGCTATGGCTAATACCCTGTAAGCTTAGCTTAGCATACAAACTTGAAGTACAGGAAATGTCTGGATTGTTTCTGATCAAAGGTAACACAATCTACCTTTTGCTTTTTAGCATGTTACATCTTGTTTATATAATAAATGTGTTATAACAGCAATTTACCATTTATAATAGTGTGTTGTTTTTACACTTTGGCCTTTCAAATGGACGGAACAAACAGATTGAAGAAATTAAATATAGCATGAACAGAGCCAGGTTAGGTATTTGACATGTTTCCAGTCTTTATGCTCTAATCTAACTTGCTGCTGGCTATAAAGCTTCATGTTAACTGTGCAGATGTGAGAGTGATGTCAACCTTTTCATCTAACTCTTGGCAGAAAGGCAAATAATCATATTTCCCACAGTGTCCCTATTCCTTTCAGGTGAAAATGATTTGAATATGCTTTGCTTTGGGTGATGATTAGACTTATATGGTGGTAGATGCAGCTGCGCAGGCTCTATCCAGTGAGGTAAGAGTGTTGTTGCTCTTCCTTCATTTTGACCACCCCCTGCAATATAGGCTTATTTATAACAATATATTAGAACTGGAAATGCATGCATTGCATCTGGTCAAAGTAGCAAGATGCTTAACAGTTAGTTAGATCTTTATTCCTGAAGAGATTGGATATCATACAATGTCTTTGATGCATTTAGAGAAAACCAGATTTTATGGCATGGATTCAGTAAACAGGATGGATATCGGGCTGTGGTTGACCCTGTGGCTATATAAAGATTATAGTCATTATAATATTATTGCTATCACAGAGGAGAGAGGATGTGGACCGTTACAGGCCCACCTCTAAATCTAGTAACACCTAAGTTGAAATTCTAATGGCGTGTCTAATATGACTCCACAGGCCTACTGCAGATTACTACACTGACTTTGTAGTAAAAACAAAGTGACTGCACAGTACTGAACTGTAGCCCCGAAGCAGTTAATTCATAAGAAAAAGCCCATAAATGCTTTCTAATATCATAGGGTAGTATAGAATGATTGCTTTGTGCTTATCAAGTACAAATATTGACTCTTTCAACTTAAGTGTTACTTTAATAAGCAAGTGAAGTTATGTCGCATTGTGCCCAGTTCAGACAGGTCATATGATGCAGATAATGCATTTTCCAACGTAAAATACATCATCTGGCAACATATTCGGGATTTGATCAACTAATAAAATCATAAAATCGCACATGGTAAAATAGTCTATATATGAAATACCAAAAATACAGCTGTGAACAAACGTGAAAATGGAAACAAGGTAATATAGTTAAGGCTAAACATCTTTGTCTATTACCTTCATATAGCTAAGTCAATAAGAGGAGCATGCAATCAACATAACATTGCCACAACTTTACGTTAAACAACAAAAGCAATCAACTGAAAACAAACGTTATGTGCCTTTCGCCACCACAAATCAGAACCATGTGATGTGAAGTTCTCCACATTGTAAATCATATGGCTTTGTGCAATTTTTCACCATCAGTCAATTTACCAATGAAATTGTTCATGTAAAGTAATATATCAATAAATGACATGCCAGAAGTTAGTGAGATTCAGTTCTACATGCGCTGTTTCTTACATGCCAGATTGTGCTAATTGTACATCGTCCTAAAAAAGAAAGTCAGAGATCTTTCATCATAGCATGTACACTTACATCCAGGGACAAATGTTCTCAATTCCATCACCCTACTTTATATAAGGTATTTGTGCACATATTCTACATTTCTTTTAATATAAGAATATTGTTCCTTAATAAATTAGGAATAGTACAAGGACTTCAGGTAGGGGAATAAAGGTGGATGGCAGAAGTTAAAATATGTCGCCTGCTTTATGTAAAGCGATCTGAATTCATCTTTCTGAGTTTGGGCGGTAGGTGTCCGTCCATCCTGCCCCCACCTCCCCCAGCCAGTCGCTGCAGCTTGGGAGGTAAGTCCGCCACCGACTTGCTCATGGGCTCTGTGCTGATCTTGGAGGCCTTACCGCCCAACCTATCATCAGAGACGCCAGGAACAGAGCTGATTCGCTGCAGCTTCATGGGCAGGTCTCCGAAGCTGTAAGTCATCTCTGAGGTGGTGGAGCTCATCCTCAGAAGCTTCTTGGGCAGGCCATCCCGTCCCGTGATCTTCTGGAGCTTGGTGGGCAGCTTGGTGGTGCTGTCATTGTCTTCCAGCGTCTCCAGGCAGTCCAGGGAGCTGTTCTTCTCCCCGCTGTTGCACAGGGATGGAGCCATTAGGGGCGAGGAGAGGAGCAAAGCCTCCTCCTGCTCCTTCACGCTGTACGGAGGAGTGGGCACCTCGAATGTGGCGTGGAACTGAGAGTAGTCCACCTTAAAGAAGCCCTCCTCCAAGGAGATGACTGGGAAGAAGCGGTGTCCCCAAAGGACCTCGTCCTCTGTGTAAGACGTCCTCGCTTGGCAGGTCATCCCTGTCAGTGAGGAAATAAAACACAAAATGAACTCTGAGGCTACACAAATGATGACAAATTATGTTTCACAGCCCAACACAGCAGTGTCAGTGGTTTAAGACGAAACACTTCATGACTGGTATTTAACAGCAGAACCCTGATTTCATTATATGCTTGGCACTGCTCCATAAGAATCAACAATATTTGCCAGGATTCCTGCATCACAGAGCAAACAATATTGCAAACACAACTGCTTCATTGAATACGTGCTTAATGTATTACAGAGCCAGCTGCCTAAATAAAAAGCGTAATTGATTTTCACTTTCCAAACATGATGAGCAATTTTCAGCGTAACCTGAAAAATAATTAAAAGTATAGCTGAGTTTTTTGCTTTATGTTTTGTTAATTTTTTAAAAAGAAATGGGTAATTATTTAATCATAAAAGGCCCAGCTCATTCTAAATTGACTACTAATGTCAAACTGTCAGTGCACTTGCCATGAGTAAATTTAACAGCATTGGAATTGTTATAATTATTTAGTTTTGCTATTTTCTTTATCTGAAAATTGAAATGAAAAATCAACCAACTTAAAAAATGAATTGGTAAGAAACTAAATAATTAAGTTTGTTCAAATTAAAATTAACAAGTAAAATTTTATCCAAATTATCACTTTAATTTGAAAAAATTAATTCATTAATTTGATTTTTTTTAGCTGGTGAAGTTTCTGTTTTCATTCAAAATAGGTTAAGGTAGACACATACATAATAAAGACAACAACCCATAAAGTGTAATGTATTTTTTAAGGAAAATTGTAATGTAAATTAGTAAGAACAATTATTTTATCTAGTTAAAACAGAGGTATTTTTCTCTTCAGCTGTTATGCTACTTAAAAGTTCACTCCACAGTTTAATCTTGACTAGTAGCTACTAAAGATAAAAGATTAAGATAATCAATCTCCGGAGAGACAAACTCAGACAAGAAACGTAAGAAGTCTAAATTACCAACATTGCTTTCTATGTGAGGAGATTTCTTACACAATAAAAGTAATTTAATTTGATCCAAAACACAAACGGTTACATAAAGTACCAGTTTCATTACATTGTTCGACTTGAGAAAAAACTAAATGAATGTTACAATTTGCTTAGAATCCTTAAATTCTGTCATTTGAAGATTTGCAAGTTAAAAGAAAATCTTTAAAAAATCATTTTTAGCATGTTCTTGGTTTGTTCATGTCCTCGTAACTTATGCTTTGTAAATCTGGCCTCAGATTGCAGATAATGATACACTTGTAATAAATCATCCTTCACAGGGGACTCCCGCTGAAAAACTCCCTCTCGTATCCTCTGAAACAAATGAATGTAATCAGCTGAATCATGAGGTTGCATTGATGATCAACCTTTTTTAACATTCAATGTTATTGGTAGCTTATAAATGATTACTCAGCACAACCACATCTGCCTGTGCATTATATCATACTGCACTGCTTACAGCAAAGCCCTATCCATCTTAGCATATTTAACATTCCACTGAAAAAAAACCTTTAATTTCATACTAAAAGTGAGCATGGAAAATCTATAATTACTTTTACATTCTAGAGCCCCCCCCCCCCCCAATTAAATTGGTTCTATCAGTCCAAACAGCCATTCTTTTAGCAGAGAGGAATGGCTGGGGGTGCTCATGTTAAGGCTTGTTAAAATCCATTAGGAAATCAGCGACTGCAGTGGGTTATTATCACGTGTTTTAATTACCAGCTTAATATTGTTCTGGCAGCGACAGTTGGGTCCAAAGCAGTCCTTCACAACTAGATGCCGCTGCTGCCGATTGCGAGGATCATCGAAAACTATAGAGGCATCTGTGCTTTTTGCCCAATTCCCAAGGTCATGAAATAATCCACTGATAACAACGCTGTACACAAGCGCAGATGTGCGAGAGACTGAACATCAAGTGCGTTTGGGGTATTCAAAGTATTACTTCTCCACTAATGCGTCAGAGTCTAGGAGCCTTTGGGCACATGGAAGTGTGCAGCAGTGGATAAAGTGGGCTAAACTAATGAGAACTTTAGGGCCAAAGCGATCGAGAGTTAAGTGTGAACGGAAATCTTATGTTATTGTGAGCGTGACAGCTGCCTCCGGCCAAAACATTGTCGCCATGTGATCATCAAGCGGCTTATATGTAGTGATTCTGGGAACTGTGATGTATGAAACGCTCCCTTTTTAATGTTTTCTCACAGCTATTGGACATCCACACTGGATATACAGGACTAACACATCGATAGCAACTGTATTGGTGCATGATGAGAAAACACGTTTGAACAAGAGAAGGGAAATTGCGCCTCAGGTGACGCTGCTATAGGAAGAGCTAAACAGCTTCACCCCCCTCCCCCCCCTCAAAAAAAAAAAAAACGACTCTGATGTGGATGATCTAATCATCCGTAGCTTTCCTCAAAACCTAACAACACCACTAGCCTTTATCATGGCCATAAATATCCAGTTAATTTCTATACATTATTCAAAGGTTGATGCCTGAGCAGTTCCATAATTACAGACCTGGGCTGCCTCAAATAAATCCAATTGTGTTGCTAAAGACCAGCTGTTACGCAACACCCACATTCATATGGCACATGGTATAACACACTCAGCAATGCTAAAGAAGTGTGTCACAACACAACACATGGAATCTGACACATTGTGCAGAGGGATCTATTCCACGACGATTTCAAGATCACATATCAGAGTACAGTCGAACATCCAAAAATAGCACCAGCATAAAACAATAAAACCCGTGTTTGATATGTTCTTCAGTTGCCATGTATTATTACTTAAAATAGAAATCCAGTCAAATGAGAATACTCTTATCCAAGTGTATTTCATACTGGTAAATCCTTATGTAACTCGAAAATACACGCCTGCCGAGGATTCAGTGTTTCTATGGAAACAAAACTGTAGGAATGTGCGCATGCAACAGCCATAAACCTTTCACTGCTGAGTTTGGGCAAAAGTTACAGTGACAACACAAAACAAAAGTCTCTTTCTTATATCACAACAGCAGAAAAAAGAAAAGAAAAAAAGCATAATCCAAACTGCTGCGAAAGGATTTTTCATTCAGGGTCAAATCATCCATCCACACAAAACCTCATCTGAAAGAGCCTTTGTTTTGGTGCAGCGGCTAAATCATACATTTTAGTGGCTTCTCATCAGCGAAGGCCAGAGCCCTTATTACAAGTGTCATCCTTAATAAGGACAGAGCAGCTGCCTCTTCCTGTCATCCATCACTCTCACTGTATATTGCTGTGATCTGTCTGTGGTGTCTATAGCAAACGCTTTGATAACATGGTCCTTTCTCTCTGCTGGGAACATGCAACTGTGCGACATCCCAGTCAGAAAAACCTCTGACGAGGGGTGTAAGAGGCCCTAAGAGGTGTCTGTAACATCAGTTCACATATGTGAAACACGCTCAATCGCACAGGCTGGTTATTTTTGGTCAGTTTTTTCTCTGTTTTGGGTTGTATAGCCCCACCCGACTATATATTTAAATATACCTAATTTCTTAAACAAGAAAACCATGAAAACAAAACATTTTCTGGTACTTTTGCTTATTTGACACATGGTGTGACATGTACCACAAACTTTGTGACCGAACACAGTGTGGATCTTTACCAACTTGACCATGAAGATGCCCTATGAAGCTATCTATATAAAACCTTCCACTATAATAGGAATACAGAATAGACTATACATAGCAGAGCTGAGATTATTGATCAAGTGATGCACTCATCATGTCGGTTAAATTGTTTTTTAGGCAAGGTAAGACGGTTCCAGCTTTTCAAATATTAAGATTTGTTGCTTTTCATTTTCTTTATAAAAGTAAAACAATTATCTTAGGAGTTTTGAACTGATTGTCAAAGGAAATAATAATAATATGACCAACGCTCTGTGATGGGCATTTTTAACTATTTGATATTAACTGTCTTAAAAAGGAGGTCATTGTAAGATTGATCAAGGATTAAAAAAGATTTTTGTAGCAGATGATGAAAAAATGATAAAAGCTAATCAACACATGAGCAGATTTATTCATTCTTCAACTGATTAACAACAGAAAATAGATAATATTAACAAAATTAACGATAAAAATAATACAGTTAAACCACTGGAGAAGAATAAGTGAAGAGAAGAAAGCAGAAGAAACCACGAGGGAAAAACATCACTACGATTGGTGAGGAGGCAATTCCTCATTCAGCCCATTAGAAGAGAAATGTGTAACTCTGTGGATCCATTACACTTCTAATTTCAGTAAATGGTTATCTGTTCCCCTCTGTGACTCAGTGTGAGCCAATACCGATACATTTCAAATCCACAGCGGAGCGGGCGTTCACAATAAAGTGCCAAACAGTGACAGATTTAGTAACGCTGCTGTAACAGAATCAATGTTGGAGGAATCAACAGTGTTCTGGTTGATTTAGCAGGACTACATATGCTTCGTGGGCAAGTAAATGCACTGCTGTGTGTTACACATTGACTTATAGTATCTTATTGTATTTGTACATGACTAATTTATGCGGAACGACTGCTCCAGGTTAGGGTTGAACCATGTGGCCAGAACCACAACTTATATTCTGAATCTATGTCTGCTGGTAATATATCTAACTAACTCTTTGCAAATATGTTCATCCTTCAACCTTGCACTGTGTTCATATAGATTGCTACTCAAAGACTAAAGGTATCCCAGCTGAAATTGTACAAGATTACACCTATGGACAATTTAAAGTCTCCAATTACCATAACCCCACTCTGCATGTGCAGAGGATTTGAACAGGGAACTTTCTTGCTGTGAGGCAACAGTGCTAAACACTGTACCACTGTGCCATCCTAAACACTTCCTCTGAAAATCAAGACAAACTACAGCAATGATTCAAAACAAGAAACAAATAAAGCATCAACTTGTAAGAGCTGTTTCATGCCATCTCCATCCAATTTTTCATAAAACTATGCCGACGGTACATAAGCTTAGGGATATATAGTTTCT